CAGCCATCAGCGTTGACGAGGAACGACACGATGATTGCCCCGCGCGGCTCGTTAAAGTAATCGAAGAGGACTCGTGTCCTCCTGAGCCTTCCGTGATCTAATTACCACCATCACCCCTTTCTTCTTTTTTTTTTCCCCAGGAATGGAATCCTCATTTTTCAATCGATAAAACACGTGTTTCAGGAGCAGCTTTTAACAAGCAGCATTAAGAGGAAAGGAGCCACCACCACCACCCAAGGTCCCACCACCACCCATGGTCCCACCACCATTTTCCTCCAAGAAGTCCAAGAGGAACGTCAAGGGCGCTGCTCCACGCGCTGGGCAACCACCTGGTCCTCTTGCCCAAGGTCTCCTCACACATCATGGAACCATAGAATCATGGAATGGTTTGGGTGGGAAGGGATCTTCAAAGCCCAACCACTTCCATCCAGGGACATCTCCCACCAGCCCAGGTTGCTCCAAGCCCCCTCCAACCTGCCCTTGAACCCCTCCAGGGATGGGGCAGCCACAGCTTCTCGGGGCAACCTGGGCCAGGCTCTCACCACCATCACACCAAACAAGTTCTTCCCCACATCTCATCTCCATCTCCCCTTTTCCAGTTTAAAACCAGTCTCCCCAGTCCACACCAGTTCTCCAGCCCTCCCAGCATCTCCGTGGCCTCCTCTGGCCCCGCTCCAACAGGTCCATGGGCTGCCCCAGCCCAACCTCCCCTCCACGAGGCATCTCCTGGGGCTTCCACGGATGGAAGTTTCCATCTGTGATCCCTGGGAGATGTTGGGGCTTCTTCATCCTCTGCCACCCGAAATAAATCCATTTTGGGGGGAGTAGAAATGGGACCCGTGTCCTTGTTGCTCACGATTTGGCCATGTCCCCTCGTCCCTGCTCATGCCACTGGTGGTGTCACAGGGCAGACTGGAGCCCCTTTGGATTCATGTTGCCTTCAAAAAAGACCTTCTCCACGGGAAGGACCAGGCTTGGGCAATTTGGACTCTATTTTGGGCTCAGAAAACCCTTTATTCTTTGCGATGCCTTTGAAAACGAGTGAGTTTTATGCCTCCTCCATACAGAACCACAGAATGATGTGGGGCTGGAAGGGACCTCTGGAGATCATCCAGTCCAACCCCCTGCCAGAGCAGGGCCACCCAGAGCAGGTCCCACAGGAACATGTCTGGGGGGGCTTTGAATGTCTCCAGAGAAGGAGACTCCACCACCTCTCTGGGCAGCCTCTGCCAGGGCTCTGCCACCCTCAAAGTGAAGAAGTTCCTCCTCATGTTGAGGTGGAGCTTCTCATGTTCCAGTTTGTGCCCATTTCCTCTTGTCCTGTCCCTGGGCACCACTGGAAAAAGACTGGCCCCATCCTCCTGACACCCACCCTTGAAGGATTTAGAGGTGTTGATCAGATCCCCCCTCAGCCTTCTCTTCTCCAGACTAAGAAGACCCAAGTCCCTCAGCCTTTCCTAATTAAGAGAGATGCTCCTTAGCTCCATGAGTCTCCTCCCAGACCCTTCAGTGCCTCTTAGTTGCTCATCCCTCCTGCCCCTGGAGATGTGGGGAAGCCTCGGAGATGTTCCTGCTGGTCATCTGTGTCTGGGAAATGGTTCTGGGATGATCTCCTGCTGAGAAGTCCCACCCTTTAATCTCCAACGTTCTCCCTCTTGTGTTGAGGGCTGCTTTGGGCTTGTCTTCTTCTGAAATACTCGCTCTTCAGGACCATCTCCTCAAGCTCTTGCCTTTGGAGAAGGATTTCTATCCCTGGAGCCTGTGATGGGGGGGCTGAGAGAGTTGGGGCTGTTCAGCCTGGAGAAGAGAAGGCTCCAGGGAGACCTTGGAGCCCCTTCCAGTCCCTCAAGGGGCTCCAGGAGAGATGGGGAAGGACCCTTGATGAGGGAGGGGAGCCCTAGGAGGAGGGGGAAGGGTTTTAAACCAAAAGAAGAGAGATGGAGATCTGGAGAAGAAATTCCCAGGAACCTCAGCATCACCTCGAGGGGAGCAGGTCAAAAAACGCTGGGTTTTGGCCTCAAATGAGTTTTTCCAGCTTCTTTCTCACCGTCTCTTCCTTTTTTCTCCGGAGAAGACGCTGGAGCTGCCTTAATTCAGAACCTTTAAGGCTTCAATCAAAGCAGGGAAAGGACACGCCGGCGTCTGAACTTTCCCCAGTAACATTTGTAAATGCCAAGCGTTTTTTTTTCTGCTAAAGGAGGAAAAGATTGAATTTTAATTTCTGGGAGCGTGGAGGAGGCGGCCGCCCTGGTGGAAAATGCATCTCGGGGGCTCAAAAACCTGCCCTGGGTTGAGTTTCGTGGAGTTTCTCCTCCTGGTTTCCTCAGCTCCAGGGCTGGGAGAAGCTCCTGGAGACAGGGCCAGGAGCTGGGATAAATGGAAGGAGCTGCTTTGGCAGCATCTCCAATCATCTGCTGGGGGGAATCCCCCATCATCCGGCTGGAAAACCCCCCAAAATCATCATAACCCCCCCTTCTGCAGCATCTTCCAGCATCTGCTGGGGGGAACCGTGCATCATCTGGCCAGAAAACCCCCCAAAATTAGGGCCACCTCCATCACTCCTCCCTTCTCCAACGCTCCGTTGACACTGGAAAGCCCCCTCAGGGTCTTGTAGCAGGAAAAAAGGAGGTGAAATGGGCCAAAAATGAAAACCACAGATCCCCCATCTCCTTGGCTCCGTTTACACCTTGGACTCACCTTGTCCCCAACCCAGCGCCAGTGTCCTCCCACCAATTATGGGGGAAAAAGAGGTGATTTTGGAACGTTACCTTGGGTTCTGGCACTGGTGGAACCCAACAGCCCCTTCTGTCGCTGCTGGGGGTGCAATTGTCCTCATCACCAGCTGAGAAGCTCCCACCACCCACCGTGGGTCTTCTCTCCACCTCCCCATGTGTCAGGATCTGGTCCTGGAGCATCTTGGAGGCGAGGAGGGATCTCCCTCTGAGCATCCTGGAGTTAAACGTGTGGAGATGTAGGAAGTAGACACCATCCAGAACCGTGGAGGGGCTGGAGCATGTCCAGAGAAGGGCAACGGAGCTGGGGAGGGGTCTGGAGCACGAGGAGAAAGGTCTAGAGAACTTCTGGGGAGCTGGGGGTGTTGAGCCTGGAGAAAAGGAGGCTGAGGGGAGACCTTCTGGCTCTCTCCAACTCCCTGAAAGGAGGGTGTAGCCAGGGGGGGTCGGTCTCTTCTCCCAAGGAACAGGCCATGGGACAAGAGGAAATGGCCTCAAGTTGCCCCAGGGGAGGTTGAGGATGGAGCTTGGGAAGAATTTCTTCCTGGAAAGGGCTGTGAAGCCTTGGCAGAGGCTGCCCAGGGCAGTGGTGGAGTCACCATCCGTGGAGGGATTTTGGAGCCTGGCAGAGGTGGTGCTGAGGGACATGGGTCAGTGGTGGGTTTGTCAGTGGTGGGTTGATGGTTGGACTCTATGGTCTGGAAGGTCCCTCCCAACCTCCACCACTCCATGATTCCATGACTCTAAGTGTGGTTGGTGGCACCTGTGGAGGTTCAAGGTGGGTTCTCAAGTCCCCTCAAAGCCTCCCCTCGCCCCCAGGCTCAGCCTCCAGCTCCTTCTCACTCTGCTTGGCTCGTCCATCCCATATCTGGGCAAGTCCCCCCTTACCCACTGACCCCCACTCTTCTTCTGCCTTTCAGAGGACGTCCAGGTGACCGACAAGATCACCATCTCCAAGCAGTTCAAGGAGAAGGTGATTCGCCCCATCTTGAAGGTACGGATGTTTGGGGTTTTTTTTTCCAGAGCTGATGTTTCAGGTGTCTTGAGCGTTGGTCATTGCATCCAATGTTGTCCAGAGAAGCTGTGGCTGCCCCATTCCTGGAGAGGTTCAAGGTTGGACAGGGCTTGGAGCAACCTGTTCTGGTGGGAGGTGTCCCTGGATGGAACTGGATGATCTTTAAGGTCCCTTCCCACCCAAACCATTTGAATTTCCCCTGAATTTCTTCTCCCAGTGGGAGGCTCAGGTGGGACCCTCAGAACCAGGAGAACATTGAGGGGTGTTACTGGAAGAGCTTGGGGCAGGAGAAACGCCAGCAGAGGCTGGAGCTGGTCCTCCCCTGCAGGAGAGGTCCCTTTCCAGTCCCTCTCCCCATCTCCAGAAGAATTAATTCCTCCCCAAATCCATCCTGAGGGGTTCTCCTGGTGATCCCAGCTCCTTAAAAGCCACCAGATGCTCCGAGTCAGTATTTTTGCCCATTTCTCTTGTATTTATTGCAATAAAGGTGCACAGAAGGAAGCGTGGGGCCTGGGCTGGGATGGGTCTGGGGTGGGGTAGTTCCTGGGGGTCCTGTGTCACCCGTGGGCAGGACATGTCCCCGGGGGTCTCACGTCACCCATGGGCAGGAGACATCTCCTGGGGGTCTCACATCTTGTGGGCAGGACACATCCTTGACAGTCCCATGTCACCCATGAGTAGGACACGTCTCCTGGGGGGTCCTTTGTCACCCACGAGAAGGACACGTCCCCAGGGGTCTCACATCTCAGGAGAAGGAGAAGGAGAAGGAGAAGGAGAAGGAGAAGGAGAAGGAGAAGGAGAAGGAGAAGGAGAAGGAGAAGGAGAAGGAAGGAAGGAAACCCCAGCCCAAGCCTTCATCCTCCCAAGGCGGGCACAGAGCAAAGACACATCTTCACCGGGGTCTCACCCCAAGAGGAGAGGACCCACCTTGGGATGGAGGGACCTTTTGGGGTGGTGGGAGACGGTTCCTCCTGCGTTGGGGCAAGGTTGAGCTTCGGGCCACGTTCAGAGCCGTTAATTGTCTAATTGTCTAATTGGTCTTTGCACACCTCAGCTCGCTGGGGGGTGGGGGGAGAAATAGGAACTGGGGGGACCCCTTGCTTTGGTGGGTCTGGTCTGGAGGACCTCTGTGTCCTTCCCTCCTAGGCTCAGGGATGTTCACACCCCACCATGCTCCCCACCGCTCAAGGAATGGGGTGCTGGGGTTCCTCCAAGGCATTGGTAACTCTTCCTCCTCCTCTTCCTCACCCAACAGGCCAAGGCGAGGCATAACATCACCCTCCTCTGGGACAGGGAGGTCATGGATGTTCTGGCTGATGGCTACAACTTGCACTATGGGGCCCGTTCCATCAAACACGAGGTAAAGTCAAGGGTAGAGCTTGGTGGATGGATGGATGGATGGATGGATGGATGGATGGATGGATGGATGGAGAAGATGGATGGATGGATGGATGGATGGATGGATGGATGGATGGATGGATGGAGGGGGAGAT